GATTTATAAGAAATGACAATTTATTGGCTCACAGTCTATAGGCCAGAAACTCCAAATGGGAAAGACTAGCATCTGCTGAGGGCCTTTTGCTGCCTCATCCCATGGCAGAAGACAGAAAGGCAAAGCGGGCAAGAAGGAGCAGGAGAGGAAGAAACTTTTCTATTATAAGAACCCCACTCCCTAGCTCATTGACTTAGCCCTTGTGGCCTACCACCTGTCATGGGGCTCTCCTTCCCAGCACCACTGCTTTGGGGATTGTTTCTAACACATGCTTTTGGGGAGGCACATTCAAATCACAGCAATGTATGTGTCTGTAAGTTGGTGCTGGCGGTAGGCTGGCCCCTTAGCTGGGTGCCTGTCAAGACACCTACTCGTGACCTCCCCAGGTCTCTCCACATGGACTAGTGTGACTTCCTCACAGCAAAAGCTGGATTCCAAGTGTGTCCCAAGAGAGCACCTGGTATTTTTATGACCCAGTTTCAGAGGTCACTCAGTTTTACTTCCACCATATTTTACTATCACAAAGATAGACCCAGGTTCAAAGAAGGGGAACACAGATCCCATCACTTGATAGCAAAAGTGTCAAAGTCACATCGTAAAATGAGCATGTGGAATTGGAGACATTTTTAAAGTTATTTATTACTCACTTATTATAGATGTTGGAACAAACTCAGGACTTTGTGCTTTCTAAACAACCACTCTACCACTGAACTGCATCCTCCCACCTTTTCTTAATTAATTAATTAATTAATTAATATGTTAAGGAAGGGTCTTGCTAAATGGCCTATGCTGACCTCCAATTTGAGATTTTACTGTCTCAGTCCCCTGAGTAAATGGGATTACAGGCATGTGCCACCACACCCAGGAGAGGTTATCTTTGTTGAAAAATACGATTTGCTGAGCTGGGGATGTAGCTCAGTGGTAGGGTGCTCGCCTAGTGTGCATGTGTGTGAGACCCTGAGTTGGATTCCCAGCATCCTCCTCCCCAAAAAAAAGGAAAGGAAAGAAAATACGATTTGCTACAATTACTGATATACTAGTTTGTAAAACATAGCTTAAGACGATAGGTGAAAGGCCAGGTCAGTTGCTACAGCACAGCGTTCCCATATGGAAACAGGTGGTGGGAATGTATGTTTTGATGAGACAAGAGCATTTCAGCAGGGGGAAGAGTGGTAGAGAGGCTGTGCTAGGGCAGGTCCTAAGCAGTGAAGGCTAGCATGGCTAGGCATCATGGGAAAGGAGGAGAGGTTGATGCAGGAGCTGAGTTTGGAAGGTCTGGCAGGGGAACTGTGGATGTCAGGCTAAAGAATTTATTGGGAGGCCACTGGGTGCTAATACAGGCCCAAGGATGTCCAGTGCGGTAGCACACGCCTGTAATCCCAGTGACTTGGGAGACTGAGGCAGGAAGATCACAAGTTCAAAGCCAGCTCTTGCAATTTAGAGAAACCCTATCTCAAAAATAAAATAAACAGGACTGGGATATAGCTCAAGGGTGACAGAGCACGCTTGGGTTCAACCCCCAATACTGGGGAAAAAAAAGACTCAAGGATGTCGTAAGGCATTCTTTTCACATCTGGGAGCCAACCCCTATGCCCATGGCCATGAGCCAGTGGTGTCCTAAAGGAGATAGATACCGCACTTACTCAGGACTGAGGAGGCTGAGCCAGGAGGATGGCAAGCTTGAGGCCAGTCTGGGCAACTTGGCAAGACCCTGCCTCAGAATAAAAATAAAAAGGGCTGGGGATGGGAGCAACCCTGGGTTGATCCCTAATACCACCACCACCACACACCACACACACACACACACACACACACACTAGGAGAAGCAGAAGGAAAACAAGACAAGTGCCCAGGCCTGAGTTTGGCGTCCTGGTTCTGAGCCAGCTTGTTTGTCCAGTTTTTTCTTTTCTTTTTTTTTAATTTAAGAGGCGAGGTCTCTCCATGTTACCCAGGCTGGCCTCGAACTCTTGGTTCTGGTGATCCTCCTGCCTCAGCCTCCTCAGTAGCTGAGGCTATTCTTGCCACAAAGCCCGGTTTCATCTGCAGGTCTTCATGCCACGTTCTTCCTCCCAGCACCTCCGACGGGTATCCCGCAGGTACATTCGCGAGTGGAGGAGCCCCAGCCCACCAGCTGGCCCCGCCTCCCTGCCAACTGACCTTGCTTCCTTAGCAACTCGATTGGTAGGCCCCGGCCCCGCCCCACAGTGTAGCCCCGCCCCTCAGTGTAAGCTCCGTCCACTTGCATCTCCTCCCACCCTACCATCGTGCAGGGCAGTCTGCTCTCGGCTCCTCCCCTCGCGCTCGGGCCCCGCCCCTCCTGAACTGGACCACCTTCCGCAGTTCAACCAGCTGCTGGGACACCCGAGGCCCTGGAGGTCCCGTCTGCGACGCTTGTTTGGACGACACCTCTTCCTATTTTCGCCTCAGGTCCTGCGTGATACCTAGATCTTCCTCGGCATCCCCTCTGACTTGGCAGGCTGGAGTGGGGTCCTTCATGAAGCTGAGTGCCTGGGTGGCGGTCATGCTGTCAGGACTTGGTGTCTGGGTAGAATCTCGTGCTCTCGGGAGCTGCTGACTGAGTGCGATATGCCCCTTTGTACAGGGCGTCCCCTGGGGGTCCGAACCGCAGAGCCTACAGGAAAAGGACATAGCCCTTTCACCTCCCATGCGTGCTGTTCCCACAGTTCAGCCTGTAGCCCCACAGGACTCACCAGTAGCGCCCATCGCGATGAGTGGCCTGTAATGAGCCATCTGGAGTCCTCCCTGCTCTGTGCTCACCAGAGTTTCAGGGCCGAGTCCGTCTACTCCCAGGGTCAGGATCTCCAGAGGATGCTCCACCATCGCCTGCACGGGGTGGGGGGGGGGTCGCCCCGAGTCCACCGTGAGCTGCCTGGGGTCTGTTTTCACCCCATCGCCTTTGGCCCCTGGGGCGACTTCCCGCACAGATGTTCCTTATCAGCATCACTCCACTTCTGAAGCTTGGAGTTCCCACAGAGGCGGGGGTGGGAAAGCGCGGGGAGAACCAAGGGTCGAGGTCCCCAAATGCCTCCCCTTGGGAGGCCCAGGAAAGACGGGAAACTGAGGCCCAGAAACGGAGCCGCTTGGCCACTTGGCGTGGCAGCAGTAGAGCCACGCACAGGCCGCCCCGGACACTGACCAGATTCAGGGCGTGCTCTCCTCCAGGCTCCGTGAGGTGGCTCCCCTCTGACTCTAGGACAAGAGACGGCTGGTCCCGGCTCAAGAGGTAAGGCTTCCTCCGGGGTCGCTCAAATCTGGAATGACCTTGGTGGAGGGAAGAGGAGCAGCTCCCAGGAGTGAACACCAGAGGGCGCCGAACCCCGAAGGGCCACTCTCAGGGCTGTTGGGTCTGCCTCCGCCCTGGTCCAGAAGAAGGTGATGTGCAGCCTGCCCACTTGAGATTCTTTCTACCGTCTTCCCCTGAGTCCTCCTTGCCTTCTAGGCTCATCTGTCCCCGGGGACTAAACTTTCCTCCAGAAACTGGCTGGAACAGGACCCTCCCTGGGCTACTGAAATCCTTGAATGGGCGAGGGCCCAGAACCTGGATACCTGAAAACTATGGCCCCCAGTCCTAGTGGGGACCCACCAGCCTCACCATCGGTCCACCAGGGTAGACAACATGAGGCCACGCTGACTGTGCTCGTGCTCTGCTCTGTTTAACCACGTCTCCCTGCCTGCCTTGGGTTGCCTCTCATAATCTTTTGAATAAAACCAAGACCCTTATCATGGGAGGTCCTGCTTGGTGGTTCATCCTATCCTCCCTGTCACCCTCTTGCCCATGATGTCCTGGCCAAGATGCCTTCTCCTCTGTCCTGTGAACACACCCTGTGTTTTTCTGACTCTGGGCCTTTTCTTCTCTGCTTGGAACTGGACTGTAAGCTTTTCAGGGCAGAAACTGGGTTTGAATCTGATCCATTTAGTTTGGTAACAAATGCCAGCTGTAGCGGATCTCAAATAACTTTTTACAGTTTTTTTTCCTCCCTTATATGGGGGTCTGACTGTGTTGCCCAGGCTGGCCTTGAACTTGTCATCCTCCTGCCTCAGCCTCCTGAGTAGCCAGGATTATAAGCACACACCATGCTTCAATAAATATCTTTTCTCCCCTTGTTCATCATCACATTCCAGTGGTTAGCAAGCCTGGCCCACAGTAGGACTAAATGATTCTTCTTCTTCTTCTTTTTTTTTTTTTCCTTGCTGCATTGGAGATTGAACCCAGGGCCTTACATCCCCAGCCCCACCCCCTTTTAACTATTTATTTATTTATTTATTCATTTCAGTACTGGGAATTGAACCCAGGGGTGCTCTACCACTGAGCTACATCCCCAGTTCTTATTATTATTTAATGTTGACCCAGGGTCTAAGTTGCCCAGGTTGGCCTCAAACTTGGTATCCTCCTACCTCAGCCTCCAAGTCTCTGGGATTATAGGCATATGCCACCACCACTGCCACCTGAGGCTTCTGTATTAATGGATTCAGTCTTTACCACAGTCAGATGAGGTTAAAAAAAAAAATGAGGAGGGAACTATCATTATAATGTCTCATTTCACAGAAAAGAAAACAGGAGCTCAGAAAGGTTAGGCCATTTGTTGAGAGGTCACACTGCTAACATTTGAACAGGCTTTTCAACAACCTCGCACTGGAATAGAGTCGGGGAGAGGGAGTACACCACGGGACAGGTCCCAGGTGCCCGGTGATTGACGCTTTCTGTAGTGGAAGGCATTGAACTGGGCTGAGAGGCTGGCAAGACTCCCGTGAGGAGAGCATTCTAGAAGGACGAGCAAGGAACAGTGGATACAGGGGCATCTTGCTCTTGGGACAGTTCAGTGCAGAGGGCGGGGACGCTGCCACTGAGGGTCCCCAGAGGTAGCAGCCGGGAGGGTGGAGAAATTAACACGACGGCGCCCTCCGGTCCCTCCCTGCAGGCTTGGGCCGGCGCCCCCAGGGACTCTGGCCGGGCAAGACAGGACGTTCCCACGCGGGGGCGGCGCAGGCAGCGCGGGGCGGGCCGGGGGCGGCGCCCGACTCGGGTCCCCTCGCAGCCCATTCTCCGTTACTCACTGGGAGACCGGGTCGCGCTCCACCGCCGCTGCCAGCTGCGAGGTGAGAGGGCGGGAGATCCTGGCTGCCCCAGCCCGCCCCAGCAGGTGCGGGGGGATACGGCTCGGACCCTGTTTTCCCCGCCCGGCCAGGCCCCTGTGGTCCCTGCCCCAGAGGAGGGTCGGGGTCTCCTGGGGGGCTACCCTCTGTCCATACCTGGGGCGCGCCCCCTTCCCCCACTTGCAGATTCCCGGCTGCAGCTCCCCATGCGCGGAGCTCTCCCACCATTGATCCCTGACCCCTTAGATCACTGACCCGATAGACCCCAGTCCTTCCTTTCCAGCTGTGGGGGCGCCCCTCCCACTTATCACATACGATGTGCCCCCTGCCGCTCTCTAGTTCTGGGGCACCCCTTTCTTTCTTCAGAGATGGGATGCCCACTTCTTCTCTCCAGATGTGGGGGAACCCCTCCCTTTCTCTTTCCAGAAGTGGAATGCTTTTTTCTTCTCCCCAGATGTGCCCACCACCCCCCTCCTGCTGACCTGGTTTAGTCTCTGTCCTCTAAAGCTGTTCCCCACCCCCATGGGATGCCAGACCCTGAGACTCCCTCCAGGGGTGGGGGTGGGGCTCAGCCTGTCCCCTCCCCCACCAGATCCAGCCCAGCCAGCTCCTGTGCACGTAGGCAGGCAATTAGGGGGAAGGGCCCCCCTCCCGGGGCCATCTGTGCTGAGGCCTCCATAGATGGCCCTGTGGGGAAGAGCCTCAGGATCTGCCCTTTCCCTACCTGGACTCCCACCCAGTTTCCCCTGGGGGCAGACAGTTGAGGTGGCGTCCCCAGTCTGGCCAGGCTGAGCAACTGGCTGGCACCAGAACCCAGGCCCCAGGCCCATACTGTTCAGACATAGGTGGTTAGATAGGACTCCTTACTTCTCAGTGCCCTCGAGGGATCCGCAGGTCCAGGACCCTCCAGTGTATCATCCCCTCCCCTGGGATAATATACAAAATTAGAAGGGTCAGGGGCATAAGGGTGACTTGGAGCGCTCAGACTTTCACTACAACAGTTTCCTGGGCCCTGGGGCAAGAGCAGGGGGAGAACTCTTCTGTACCTGCCCAGATGCTCTCCCGAGCTGCCTGGAGCTCTGTGCTGAGAAGAGGAGGACTTGGAACTCGAGGGACACACAGCCCAGGAGGCCCTGGTAAGATCCCACCCGCTCTGTCCCAGAGTTAGGGACAGTCTGCCCGCTTCCTCCCTTGTGGCCCTGGACCTGGCCCCAATCCACTTTCCTGGATCCCATGCCTTTGTCCTGAGCCAAGTTCCTCCAGAAAATGGAGCCTCTGAGATAAGTAGATGCATCTCCCTTATTTAGGGCCCGACCCTCAGGCCCCTAAGCCTTTGGAGAGAAAGGATGCTACATCTGACCCTCCTTTCCAAGGCCTTGAAATCAGTCCTAGTCAGAAGGAAGTGTCTCTTTTTTAAAAAAAAATTATTTAGTTTTTAGTTTTAGGTGGACACAATATCTTTTATTTTAATTTCATGTGGTGCTAAGGATCGAACCCAGTGCCTCGTGCATACTAGGCAAGTGCTCTACCACTGAATCACAACCCCGGCCTAAGAAGAAAGAGTCTTAAAGCAAGAGAGACTTCAGCCACCTAGCAGAAGAAACTTTCTGACCTCAGGAGAATAATAACAAACATGTATTGAGGCCTTAGTAGGTCCCCAAGCTGAGATAAGCATTTTATATAGATTAAGGCAATTAGACGTCACGTCACAACAACTGTGTGAGGTGGATGCTGTGCTAACTCCATTTCTTGGATGAATAAATTGAGCCCCAGTACCTCAGAAGAGCCAGGACTCCTTGTCCAAGGCAGCTCCAACACTATCCCCTTAAGGTGACACAAGTCACTCCTGTGGGCGTTGCCAGTGTCAATGAACAGAAGATTCTTTATCAAGACCATCCCTGGTGCCCAGCCTTATTCTGCATCCCTACAAGGAGCCCTGGGGGCTTAGCCATTGAGGGAGCTTCTGGGAAAGGAGGCTAGTAGAAAAACCCACCTCTGTGACTCGGTACAGTGAGCCGAGCCTCTGCAGAGAGTCGGGCACCATCTGGACCCTCAATATCCCACTTTCCAGATGAGGATTTGAGCACAGCAAAGTCAAGGGGCTTGTTGGAGTTGGGATGGATCAAACTGGGTTTCAAACCCAGCTGATTCCGAATGCGTGCCCTTGACTCCTCCCCAGGGCACGTGTTCTTCACTTTGTAGTTTCATATCTAGCAGGTTCCTGCCTCTGAGCCTTTGCCCAGCCAGGGCCTCTGCCTGACATAAATTGGGCTCCGGTCTTCCCAGAGAATGCAGGACTCGGGGCCAGAGGGCCTGAACTGCAGCCTGGGCCCTGCTCCTTCTTGCTTTGTGCATTTCAGTGAGTCACGTAGCTGCTCAGTTTATTCATCTGCAAAATGGAGATAACCCCAGCCGGGAGTGGAGGCAAATGCCTCTAATCCCAGCAATTTGGGAGGCTGAGGCAGGAGGATCACAAGTTCAAGGCCAGCCTGGGCAATTTAGGGAGACCCTGTCTCAAAAAAGAAAAAAGGAGCTGGGCACAGTGGCGCAAGCCTGTAATCCCAGCAGCTCCGGAGGCTGAGGCAGGAGGATCTCAAGTTCAAAGCCAGCCTCAGTAAAATCAAGGCTCTAAGCAATTCAGTGAGACCCTGTCTCTAAATAAAATACAAAATAGGACTGGGGATGTGGCTCAGTGGCCAAGTACTTTTGAGTTCAATCCCTGGTACCACAAAACAAAAAAGAAGAGGAAGAAAAACAAAGAAAAAAAGAAAAGAAAAAGGAAGGACCAGACACTGTGGCACACGTCTGTAATCCTAATGGCTGGGGAGGCTGAGGCAGGAAGATTGCGGGTTCAAAGCCAGCCTCAACAATTTAGCAAGGCACTTAGCAACTCAGCAAAACCCTGTCTCTAAATAAAATATAAAAAAAGGGCTGGGGATGTGGCTCAGTGGTTGAACACCCCTGGGTTAAATCCTCAGAACATCCCCACCCCCAAGGAAAAATAATAAAGGAGTTGGGGAGATGGCTCAGTTGGTAGAGTGCTTGCCTCCCATGCACAAGGCCCTGGCTTCAATCAACACAGGCTGGGGATGTAGCTCTGTGGCAGAGCAGCCCTGGGTTCAGTCCCCTGTACTGCCAAAAAGAGAAAGATGACCCCATCCTCGGCTCAGAGCCCTTAGGAGCCAGTGAACTGACCCATCCAAAGGCCTTATCCAGACTTTTGCTCAGTAAGTGCGGCCCTTCTTATTAACATCATGGTTAGAGATGGGAGTCCCGGGGCCGACTGGCACTGTCCCTCCCTGTACCGCAGCCCGCGCCCAGGGGAAGATGACCCCCTACACCAACTACTTCGCCCAGCGCTCCTACCCCATGCCCGACGAGCCCTTCTGCACCCAGCTCAACGCCGAGCAGCGGGCCCTGAAGGAGAAGGAGAAGGGCAGCTGGACCCAGCTGAGCCACGCCGAGAAGGTGGCCTGTAGGTGTCAGGGAGGGGCCAGCCAGGGAGGGAGGCCGGGTGGGGGAGGCCCCAGCGCTGGCGGCAGCCAGGTGTTCACTCAACCTTCAGGTGCAGCCTGACGGTAGGCGGCACTGGGGACAGGAGAGAGAGATGGGATCCTGGAGGGTGCTTCCAGGTAGTGAGTGGAGCAGCGTGGGGGAAGGGCGTCATTGATGGGGTGGGGGAAGGGACGGGGGGGGGGGAAGACTGGGACTGGGACTGGGGCCGGATCCCAGGAGGCAGGGGGCAGGTCCTGCCCACACAGTGCCCTGCCACCGACCCTTTGATATTCGGAGTTTCTTAGTGTCATTCCACAAATGGAGGAGCTCACCTGACCCCCAGCTTTTCAAGGCTCAAGAACTTGCTGCTCAATTCATCTTCACACATCAACTTTTTCTTTAGTACCAGGGATTGAACTCAGGGCGCTCAACCACTGAGCCACATCCCCAGCCCTAGTCTGTATTTGATTTCAAGATGAGATCTCGCTGAGTTGCTCAGGGTCTCACTAAGTTGCTGAGGCTGGCTTTGAACTGGTGATCCTCCTGCTTCAGCCTTCCGAGCTGCTGGGATTCCTTGTGGGTCACCACCCCCGACTCATCGGTGTCTTACTGACCACCTACTACGAGCCGGGCACTGGGCACGTGGCTGGTAGCAAGGCCGCTCCATTCTTGCCCTGAAACCTCACATTTCCGGTTCTCTCCCCTCAGTTCTTTTCCCAGTCCTCTCAGATCTCTCTCTCCTTCTTTTCCCCTCCCTCCCTCCCTCCCTCTTTCCATTTCAGAAACCGACATTCCTCGCCCATCCTAAAGCACAGAGCACCTGCTGCACACTCAGGGTGCAGCCAGCTGGGAAGGCAGGTCCTCTCACCAGCTCACCCTTGAGGAGAGAGGCTCAGGGTGGTGGAGTCCCTGGCTGAGGCCGCACAGCCACAAGGGAGGGAAGGAAAGAGAGAAGGAGAGAGAGCACAGGAAGAGGGGTCAGCCTCCTTCCTAAAGTCGCCCTGAGGTCAGGTCTTTGAATGCTTTTTTCCCAGAAAGAACCTGCGTTATGCAGAAGTAGTTCCTGGGGCTGGGAGTGTCTTGCCTAGTGTGTGGGGGGCCCTGGGTTCCCTCCTCAGCTCTGCAAAAGAAAAAGAAAAGAGGAGTTCCTGGAGCCCCCCTGCTCTCCTGTGCACTCTCTTCTTTCACCCGACAGCACCCTGGGCCTAAGAGCTCAGGTGTCCCTGCGGGCAGCTGGCTCGGTCCCAACTTGCCCACCTCCTGACAACTAGGCTAGATCCTATGTCGAGATACCTACCCGTGGCTACTTCACAACTGGTAGAAGACAGGTTAAGCAAAAATAAAAGTTCTGAGTTTTAAATACATTTAAAATATACATATAAAAAGAATCTCCTCTCCGTCAACCGCTGTTCCAGGTGCTGGGATCTAAGAGTGAAGAGTGGGTCCTTGTCCCCCTGAAGCTTAGAGTCAAGTAGGAAGGATAAGCAGTAAATAAGAAAGTAGAGAATAAAAACATTCTTCAGTGTGAGGGAAGCGAGGGTCGGTCCTGATAAAAGTTGGGTTAAATAAAACCACAGCTTTGTCACCTCCTTTCCTACAGTCTGTCCTCCCCAACTCAGAATGAAATCCAAACTCCTGTCTGTGGCTGGCAAGGTCCTGGGTGATCTGGCTGCTGCTGACACCGGATTGCAACACTTTCTCTTCTGTAGTTCATCCTACTGCAGCCACAATCCCCTTCACTCACCCCTTCCTGCCTCAGGGCCTTTGCACTAGCTGCTGGTTCTTACTCCACTCCCTTTGATTTCTTCAAGCCTCCGCTCCAGTGTCACCTCCTCTGAGAGACCTTCTCTGACCACTCTAACTGAAGTAGCCCTTGCCCACAGTCTGTCTGAAGATTTGCCATTTGTGTCCGGCGCCAAGCTCCACAGAGGCAGAAATTTTCAACCAGCTTATTCAGTGCTCCATCACCACTTCTTGGCCACACTTTGCATGTAGTACAATCTCAATAAGCATTTGCTGTGTGGTGGCGCACACCTGTAATCCCAGCGGCTCTGGGGGCTGAGTCAGGAGGATCGCTAGTTCAAAGCCAGACTCAGCAACTTACCAAGGCTCTAAGTAACTTAGTGAGGCCCTGTCTCAAAATAAAAAATAAAAATAAAAGGGCCTGGGATGTGGCTTAGTGGTGGTAGAATGCCCCTGGATTCCATCTCCAGTACTGGGAGGGGAGAGGGGGATTTTCCAGATGAATGGCATTTGCTGGAGGAAGGGGGAGGTCAACTCTTGGCTCAGGGTCTTTGAAATGGGACCCCTTCCCTGCACCCCACTTGCTCCCAGTGTACCGGCTCCAGTACCACCAGACCTTCGCGGAGATGAACCGGCGCTCCAATGAGTGGAAGACGGTGATGGGCTGCGTCTTCTTCTTCATTGGGTTGACAGCCCTGCTGATTTGGTGGCAGCGTGTTTACGGTGAGTGGCTGCAAATGTGGGCCGTGCCCGTGTGGCCATGGCCACTGGCCAAACCCTTACGGAAGGCATGTTGTGACTCACCTGAAAACTTGAAAAGTCTCCAAAGAGGTGGAGGGTGAAGGACAGAACGTGGCTGCCCTGGATGAAATGTAGGGACTCTACCTCTAAAGGCCTCAGGTTCCTCATCTGTACAATGGGAATAATAACGCCCATGTCTCAGTGTTCTTGTGAGGATTAATGAGAGGGACTTGGGCCAGTGCTTGCCACATGGTCATGAGGGTGTTGTTACTGATTTTCTGTGTATTAACCATGTAGATTCCAGTATGTTGTTTCAGCTGCTGTAACAAAGATCCCCAGCATAAGAACTTAAGCAGTATAGAGGTTTATTCCTTTATCACAAAATGAGGCTAAAGATATAATTCAGAGGCTGGTTTTGGGGTGCACACCTGTAATCCCAGAGACTTGGGAGGCTGAGATAGGAGGATCGCAAGTTCAAGGCCAGCCTCAGCAAGAAGCTGAGCAAGACCCTCAATGACTTAATAAGACCCTGTCTCAAAATAAAAAAATAAAAGGGGCTGGGGGAATGGAGCTTAGTGGTAAATGGTCCCTGGGCTCAATTAGGGGAAAAAAGAAAGAAAGAAAGAAAGAAAAAGAAAAAAGAAACAATCCAGGTGAGTATTGGGACTCCACAAAGCAGGCTCCTTCTGACTAGTTTCTCTGCCATCTTTAACATGTAGCTTCCATCTTGACACACAAGATGGCTGCTCAACTCCTGCCACCTCTCCTTGCATCCTATTGGCTAGAGGTGTTCACATGATCCTGCCTAACTACAAGGGAAGCTGGGATATGTAGTCTTTTGTTGGGTCTCATGTGTCCAGCTGAGGTTTTATTATCTCAGAAGAATGGTTCTCTGAATGTCCCTGGACGGACAGCCCCACCGGCAACCTTGCTGGACATGTGCGTTCCCAGCCCCCTCCAGATCTACTGAGTCGGACTCTCGGGGTGGAACCCGCTCTCCCTGTCCTGGTCCCTCTCTCCTTCCTTCTCTTTGTGGTACTGGGAAGCTGACCCCAGGCCTCGCCCGTACTGGGCTCCAACACTGGGCTCCACCCGCAGCCTGTACTCCTCGTAGAACAGCCCCCTGGCTGGTTCCGAGGCTCTCCCAGGCCTGAAGCCATTGCTCTGGACAAAAGGGTGAGGACATTGAGGAAGCCTGGCATCCACCCAGTGGCCTGGCCTGGTTTCCTGTGTGACGGTGTGATGGGAATTCCCGGCCTGCATGAAGGTGAAATGAGACCGCCTCTGGGACTGTCTGGTGTGGCCAATGTGGCACATAATAGGTGCCAGTGAAGACAATGCCTTTCCTTCCCCTCCCTGGGATGGAAGCACCAGGGATGGAGGCCAGGCAGCCTAGGTGGGCTGTAGAGGCAGCTGGGCCAGAGAGAAGGTTGGGAGTGTGGCCCCAGGACCTCCTGACCCACACTTGTGCCCGTAGTTTTACAAATACTAACTCACTGGATCCCCACAACCCTTGAGGATAGGACCTGTTTTTGAACAGGTAAGGAATCTGAGGCTCAGAGAGGTGAGGTGACTTATTGACTTATTCAAGGCCACACAGCAAGGGAGTGGTATAGCTGGGATTTGGATTCAGTGGTCTTCAAATCAGTGCGCCTACTACCATTGGCTACAGAGGTAGGTGAGGACCCAGAGGCTCAGGCTGGGGAAGGACCTGACCCAGTTCCTACTGTGGGTCAAAGGCAAGGCTGGGATTAGAACCTGGAGGTCCCTGGAGTGATGCTGGTGGGGGCCAGATAGGAAGAGGGAGGTCCTCAGAGCAGGGCCCCCGACCCTGGGGCTGGGGCTGGGGCTTGGAGGAGCCCTGGGACAGCTGGATCCTGAGCCACGGCTGTCCTGCCCTGTACCCTCTCCACAGTGTTCCCTGTGAAGCCTGTCACCCTGACGGACGAGTGGAAGGCCCAGCAGCTTCAGCGCATCCTGGACATGAAGGGCAACCCGGTGCAAGGCCTGGCCTCGCGGTGGGACTACGAGAAAAAGGAGTGGAGGAAGTGAGGCCTGCCTGCCCTGCCTGTCAGGTCTCTGCCCCTGCAGCGGCCCCTGGCCACAGCCTCCAGCGCCCCTCCTGCCCCTCCCCTGAGCTCCAATAAAGCTGGCCTCTTCTCTTCCACCTCGAGCCTCCACCTGCCTGTACCTGGCGCCTAAACTCAGGTGCGGAGAGATGAGAACAAGCCCCCTCGAGGGCCCAGAGCCTGGCGATCAGGGAGGGCTTCCTGGAGGAGCAGGGGCTCTGGCCGGACCGGGAAAGGCAGGAAGAAGGGAAGACATTCTAGGGAGAGGGGATGGCAAAGGCAGGGGTGTGCACTCAGTCAGTAAATGTTTATTGAGCACCGACTGTATACTGGGTCCTTTTTTTTTTTTTTTTTTGGTACCAGGAATTTAACCCAGGGGTGCTTAACCACTGAGCCATGACCCGAGTCCTTTTTATTTTTTATTCTGAGGCAGAGTCTCGCTAAGTTGCTGAGGGCTTCTCTAGGTTGCTGAGGCTAGCCTCAAACTTGCAATCCTCCAGTCTTAACCTCCTATGCCGCTGGGATTAAGGGATTCACCACACCTGGCCCCTGGCCATGTCCTGGGTACTCATTCAGACCCTGAGGGTGCAGCAGTGCACAGTGGAGGCTCCAGGTTCCATAGGAAGGAAGGAAGGGGAGACAGAGGGAGGGCCACACCCCTGAGGTGGGCTTGTGTGTTTGTGGACCTTCGAGGAGGCTGCCCTGACAGGAGCACCCTGGGAGAGGAGGCCAGGTGGGGGGCGCTGGTCTTGGGGCAAAGAGCGGAGCCCACAGAGGCCCAGGGATCCTCTCCCTGGTGTGATGGGAGCTGTGTCAGGTTGGGGCCTCTGAGGAACAAATGCCCATATCAACCATGCGAGGAGATTTGTGGGAGGCAGTGCCCGTGAGGGACAAGGACAGGGGGGTGGCAGTAGGTGGGGAGAACCTTCAGACCGTGGTTCTAGTCTGAAACTAGCCTCAGACTGCGGGGCATCTCTATCTGTCCCAATCCAATCAGGAGGCAGGAACCACAGAGCCACCCAAACAGAGGCTGCTTAATACAAAGCATCATGCAGCTCACACAAGAGGGTGACTCTCAGGCCAGGCCCGGTGGTGCAGGCCTGTAATCCCAGCGGCTCCGGAGGCCGAGACAAGAGGATCGCGAGTTCAAAGCCAGCCTCAGTAAAAAATGAGGCCCTAAGTGACTCAGTGAGACGCTGTCTCTAAATAAAGTACAAAACAAGGCTGTGGCTCAGTGGTCGAGTGCCCCTGAGATCAATCCTTGGTACTTCACCGGCCAAAAAAGAAGGTGACCCTTTACAGAGAACTTTAAAAGGTACCTTAGGTGTACCAAGGAAGGATCAATTTGCCCTCCCCACCCTGGGATCTAGACCTCCCAGGAGACCTGTGGTTTGCAGCCCACAGGTTGGTGGGAGGTGCGCCAGGGGTGGGGCTGAGGCTGGTGGGTGGATAGGTGGAATCAGGGCACGTTTGTGCAGGCAAAGCCCAAAGTATGTGTGTCAGGAGGATGGCAGGAGGGTGGTCCCCAACAAGAGGCTTAAGAGGCACATTGGGCTCGTGGGGGGTTAGATGAATTTTAGAATGAACACACACACACACACACACACACACACACACACACACACGCCGCCCGTCCTTCGCAGCGCCCTGCAGCGCCCTCTACCGGCAAAGCTCAGCATCTCCCTGTAGAGGAGACGTGCTCGCGGCCTCGTCCCCGGTAGGTGGAGCAGGAACTGAAGGGTGAATCCGGAGCTGAGACGCCGCCAGTTGATACCTTGTACAACTACCGAGGAAGTCTTGGGGAGGTCAACAGGGAGCCCCAGAGCCCGTGCTGCCCATCAGAGGAGTGTGGCATTGGGCCCAACTGCCCCGTCCCCGTGACCCCGCAGGGCTCAGTCCTTGACGGGGAGCTGCCCAAGGGGTCCTAGCCTCGGCAGCCGGGGTGGTCCTACAATCAATCTTTTGAAGACAGATCTGAGAAGCACAGCCCTTGGACACACTAGATGCCAAGGGAAGGACTTGGCAGAGCAGTTGTGGCAACATTCATTTGATCAATATTCATTGATGATTATGTACCCACTGTGTCCCAGGATCTGGGGATGGAGTGAAGGAGACCTCAGTCCAGTCTCATGACTTCCAGTCCTTGTGAATATGAAAGTCTGAAATGGGAAAAGAGACATCAACCAGAGGGTGGCTTTAATAAATTGTAGCACAACTGTGTGCTAAGTGGAGGTTCATGGTACTTGGACTAACCAATTGAGGAACTGACGGGGTGTGGAGGAAGTGTCCTCTTTCCTGAAATGTGAAAGATGACCCAGGGGCAGTGGTGCACCCCTGTAATCCCAGCAACTTGGGACGCTGAGGCAAGAGGATCATAAGTTCCAGGACAGCCTCAGCAAATTAGTGAGGTCCTAAGTAATTTAATGACATCCTGTCTAAATATAAAAAATAAAAAAGGGCTGGGGATGTGGCTCAGTAGTTCAGCATCCCTGGGTTCAGTCCCTGGTATTAAAAAAAAAAAAAAAAAAAAAAAAGAGCTTGGATGTAAACTGGGTGAGGGGTAGGAGACAGCATTCCAGGTGGAGAGAAAAATCATATGCAAAGACCCTGTGGTAGTGAGGATCATGGCATAAGAAATAAAGGGAGTCCGTGGAGCTGTCACACCAAGAGGAAAAGGAAGAGATGAACCAGGGAAGGTGGGGAGCAAGAGACCATCCAGGTCCTGGAGGTTTGGTGCCTCTGTCAAAGAGATGAGTTCGGAGGAAAGCAGAGAAAGGACAGGAAGATGGATCTGGAGGACATTGGGAAAAAAGTATGGGAAACCTTGAACATTAATTTATCTGAGAAAGCAGCTTTCTTGGCCCCAGGCTCTATCTGCCTTGAGTGGAGAGATGGCAGGGACACAGAGAAGAGAGCAGTAGGGGACCTTCCTGCCAGCTCTCCCAGCCTGTTGGGTGGACATGAGAGTCAGAAGGTAATGAGGCAGAAGCTACAGAAATATTCAGAAATGTGTTCCAACCTGGGTGTTTTGTTTCAAGTTCTTTTGCATAACTAGGGACTGCGCCCAGGGCCTGTGCATGCCTGGCGAGTGCTCTACCACTGAGCTACACTCCAGCCCCTAAGTGTTTTCTATGTAGGTCTTGCTTCTGCATAATGGTATTTTATATCTACTCTTTAAATTGGTGCATTATAATTATACACAATGGATTCATTGTACCATATTTGTACATGCACAAAACAACTTGATCAATCTCATTCCCATACCTTCCCTTTCACTTCCCTTCTCCCTCCCCTGATCATATCTACTCTTCTTTGAAGGTTAGTTCACATTCTTTTTTTAAAATTTTAAAATATTTATTTATTAAAAGTTTCCGGAGGACACAACATCTTTGTTTGTATGTGGTGCTGAGGATCGAACCTGGGCCGCACGCATGCCAGGCGAGCGCGCTACCACTTGAGCCACATCCCCAGCCAGTTCACATTCTTTCATCTTAGTACCTTCATAGTACTTTTTTTTTCAGTACTAAAGATTGGATCAGGGACTTCCTCAATGGTCTCAATGGAATTTACTCACCTCTTCAAAGGCTCTATTCCCCCAAAACAGTCACATTCCCAGGTCCTGGAGGTTAGAATTCCAGTGTAGGAATTTGACAGGACATGATTCAGCCTGTAGTTGGCTTCAGGCTTTTTCCCTGTGTCTCCATGGTGTGGGACCAGCGGACACCTAGGGCATGTTCTTCTCATGGCAGAAGACTTTGAGGAGGCAGAGGGACGAGTGGGGACCCTCTCCATGTCCAGGCTTAGACTGGCGCACAGAGAAGTAGCAGTAAATCCACCAACCACAGCGCTCTAGTGAGGGTGGCTGTGTTACAGACCACCCCAGAACACACGGAAGAGCACGAAACAACCATTTTGTTCTGCTCAGAGATTCTGTGGGTCAGGAGTTCTGATGGGGTACGGTGGAGACCACTTAGGTCTGCTAAGTGGGGCTTCATCTGGAAACACTCAAAGGCCGTGCCAGAACTGTCTGGGGGTGTTTCACTTACACATTGGGTGGTTGACGCGGGCTGACATAGGGTGGTTGACGCGGGCTGACATAGGGGACCTCAGCTGGAAGTGAGTTCAGTAGGAATACCTCGTGTGGCATCCAGTGGTCTCTCTGTAGGGGCTACTTTGGGCTCCCTCAAAGCATGGTGGTGGTTGGGTTCCAAGAGCAAGTGTCCAAAGAAAGCCAGGAGGAGAGACATTGCCTTTTTATATTCTAACCTCAGAAGACACATAGCATGACTTCCCTGAGCCCCGTAGGTCAGGCACTCCCAGAGGTCCACCCAGGTTCAAGGGGAAGACGACATGGATCCCACTGCTTAGTAGAGGACATCAGGATCACAAGACTTGAGATGCTTGTGAAATGGGAATATTTTTGTGGTCATCTTTAGACAATATGGTCTGTCGCTCAAGGTCAAGCCCAATATTTTTTTTTTTTGAGAGAGAATTTTAATATTTATTTTTTAGTTTTCAGTGGACACAACATCTTTGTATGTGGTGCTGAGGATCGAACCCGGGCCGCACGCATGCCAGGTGAGAGCGCTACCGCTTGAGCCACATCCCCAGCCCTCAAGCCCAATATTAACGGGCAGAGAAATAGCTTCCCTGTGGAGGATTCATGACAAGCGTGAGGAAAGCAGCCAGATACAAGCAAATAATAAAGCCTATCACAGATGTGCAGAGAGAGTCACCATAATATCGAGTTGACAGGGTTTTTAAAAGATAATTATGGGCTGGGGTTGTGGCTCAGTAATAGAGTGCTTGCCTAGCATGTGCGAAGCGCTGGGTTCGATCCTCAGCACCACATAAAGATAAATAAATAAGTAAATAAATAAATAAAACTGATTATCATTTTTTTTTTATTGTGCTCGGGACTAAACCCAGGGTCCTACATAGACTAAGAAAGCACCCTATAATTGGCTGGAGATGTAGCTCAGGTCGTAGAGTGCCTGCCTTGTATGTACAAGGCCCTAGGTTCAATTCCCAGCACCAAAAAGAAAAGAAAGCACTCTACAATTGAGCTGCGTCCCCAGCTCTTTTTATTTTTTTCTTT